AGCATGGCGTCACCACGAAAACACCCCCAGTCAGGCAGAAGGTCTGCTACAGCTACATGATAGAATTCATAGTCCATAGTCAATCCGCTCCTCGCTCTTTGTTCAACAGATCAGCCTTTCATTGAGTTTCGTTAAAACAGTGATCCGACGATTGGACCAAGACATGGTAATGATATACATATAATGGCTGTGCAATAAGCCCATGTACGAGCATGTTCGTGCTAGCCCATACCGGTGATGGTTTCATAGGGCAAGTGCAGCTGATCAGATGGGCTCTGTGAGGTCATCTTAGTGCAGGCAACCAGTAGCCTATATCCGTTGCCAATAGCGCACCTAATATGTAGCCACTAGTAGCAAGCATGAACCATCACAAACTTGCCAGGAAAACCCACCGTAGATGAATCAATTACCTGGGTCGAACTGGCTCGCGCTGCTCGCCGCGGGAGCCAGACTTGGCATCGATACTTGCGTCCTCAGTCGAGGAACGCACATACAAATGAAATGAAAGCCTTTCAGCAAATGCAGCCTCTCATAAAGTCTCTCTCACAAATCCCTCCCGGCAGCGAGCGCCCGCAGCGTCGAGGAGTGGCACTGTGGCAATGCCTAGCAACACCTGACGACTGTAAAACCGTATTCCGCTGTCCCACGATATTCTCCGAAGGCACTTCCCGTCAGCAAGACTTGCGAGAGCCCGCAAGCGACAACATACGAGTCACAAGATGTGATGCGGCAGTTCCTCGTGGCGACAGACTATGTACATATGTATCATCCGCCAAACATGTTGTCGCATGCTATTCATTTGCTGATGAGCACATATAGAGGTCGCAAAACAAATGCCTCGCAACCTCTGGAAACTGAAAGTAAACTCGATCTGGCGGCTCGGGACTATTCCGTCTCCAGACCGGCGAGAGCTACGCAGCGACGGTCTGGCCGAGAATTCGATTTCTTTGGCACCGCTGAATCCTACCTGCATTGAGCCATTCAAACCACGGCTACCTGCTATGGATCTCGGTTAATACAGTAGTGATCAAAGGCATTATATCGAGCTATGACGCCGTCCTGGCCCTGAACGACGGCGCTCAAGACTAGTCTTTTGTGCTTGGGGAGGAAAGGGGCCAATCAGAAGGTACCCGCCAGAAATATCAAGCTCGCGTCCAGACTCCAGATCCCTGTGGGGTGGAGAACAGGGACGGGCGAGACCTCACCAGCGCAGCAGAGCGGCTCTCCAGAACCTCAGCTCACCTTGGCATTGCGCTCTTCCGTGCCCGGCTCAAGCGCGGAACGTGGAACGCGACAATGCGGGATCGAGAACCCTAAATGGTTCGGTACATGAGGCTGCTGATTTTTTGATGAGACTCACTCTTGGCTTCTCCACTTCTGCGTCGATTTCGACTTGACCAGATCTGGTGCTGTTGTCGGACTCACTTTGTCATCTCGTTACGTCTTTCTGCAGCGATAAGAAGCAGCGAGCTCCATCCTCTCGTTCCTTCTTTCCCCGTGTTTGAGAGGTGTCTAGACTTTAGCACAGCCCAGAGCACCTGAGGAAGAACGATGCATTCACACCACTCACATTCTGGGCAGTTCTGCAGCCACGCGGCAGATCAGCTGTCCGACGTCTTGGACCATGCTGCTCACCTCGGCTTTACCCACTTCCACCTGTCGGAGCATTGTCCTCGTGCATTATCGGAGCATCTGTATCCAGAGGAGCGCGAAGCCGGACTGGAACCCGCTGATCTCGAGAGCCGTTTCATCGCTTATCTGGCGCAAGCGCGCTCTTTGCAAGCTGTTTGGAAGGACAAATTGCACATCCTCGTTGGTTGCGAAACGGAGAATTTGAAGGCTCCGGCAGAGATGGGGAATGACTCAATCGACCATTTGATCAACTTTCTTGAGCGACTCAGTATAAGGCAAGGCAAGCTGAAAGAAGGCACGCCAGCGGCGTGTGGTTTGGACGTCGTCGACTACCTCGTTGGCTCGTTGCATCATGTACGCGGCGTGCCCATCGACTTTGATTTGTCCACCTTTACAAGTGCTCTGCGCCTCTTTGAAGTGGACAATCGGCAAAGTGCCCAGTACAACGAGGAGGAACGAAAAGAACGGGCACACGCACTGCTGATACTGGAGTATCTCGATCGTCAACTTGAGCTCATGCAGCGCTTACGTCCCGAAATCATCGGGCATTTCGACCTCTTTCGACTTTACTACCCACAATTTCCAGTACGACCCGATACCTCGACCCCGCGCCCTCATCTAGACGCGCTACTTGCAGACGTGTGGAAGCGAATAGAGCGCAACGTCCGCTACGCGTGTGCCTACGGTGCTTTATTTGAAGCCAACTCAGCGAGCCTGCGAAAAGGCTGGGACACTGCGTACCCAGGTCACGACGTCCTGCAATACATCGTGCAAATGGGCGGCCGCGTATGCTTGTCGGATGACTCCCACGGCATCTCGTACATCGCGCTCAACTATTTGCGCATGCGCGATTATCTTGAGCGTGCCAATGTCGACGAGATTTGGTACCTTGAGAAGGACGGTGAAGGCGCACTTCTCTCACAGCAAGAATCGGCGGCTACTGAAGAAATCCATGTGCTTGAATGGGCCAAGCAGGCCAAGACATTCCACAATGCACCCCTGCGGTTCGCCCGCGGCACGATCGCTAAGCGGCTAACCGACGCACAATGGAAAGAACATGTATTCTGGAAGAATCTCCAAACACTTTGAAGATGCACCTGGAACTGTGATGATCCGTGCTGCGTGTGCTACATGTGCCAGCGGTGCACGTGTAGCATGCTTGCCTCGTTACTTTCGGTTTCGATGCTTGCTTGCAAGCGTGTCCTGCTCAGTAGATTGAGGCGCAACCACGTCCAGAAGCGACGAGAGAAAGGCTTGGAAAGGCTCGTAGGACGGTTGATGATGGCAAGCTGCTGATTTGCTTGTTACTCTAACTCGCTGTCTATGCCAGTCTGCGAGGCCTGAAAACCAGCTTGCAGGACTGCAACCTGACGCTCGCCCTCTGCAGAGTGATCAATCAGAACGCGTCAAAAGGATGGTCAATAAATGCACGTGCAAGAGCATCGCCTTGGGGATGACTGACCCGATACAAGTGCTGTTATCTCAGCATGGCTGGTGCTGCTGGCTTCGGATGTGTATTGCGCAGCTTTTGACACAGCCTCCTTGTATGCTCGCAAATCATTCTGAGAATACCGGTGACATACGAGATGCCTGTGTTAGTGCAAAATGGTGGCATTCAACGCGAAGCGAGGCGCACCCTTAGCCGTTCGAAATAGTCAAGGATGTCTTTGAGATCTCCCATCATGGTCTCATTCACGTCATCATCAAACGCTTTGAGCTCAGTATACTTGTCCTTTCTGACAGGCACGGCGATTAAACGAGAGTCAGTGCAGACTTCAAAGGAAAGCGTCCTTATGTATGAATGGTGGAGGAACATCTGCGCACAAGGCTTTCATCAGCTTGCCTGACTCGGCTTTGACAGATTCTTCATGTTTTGCTGCGTTCTGTGAAAGGTGCGCATACGGTGAGCAGAGTCAAGCCTCAGAAATTGGTCATTACAGTAGCTGTATGCTGACCCGGCGAAGCGTCTGCAGTGTCTTTGAGTACTTTTTCTTGTTCTTGCTGTCGGCAAAGGCTGCCGAAAGGAAGGAGGAGGGGAAGATGTGTAGGAAAGGAAGCACATGATTGACATCGAGTTGTCTTGAATAGTATTGAGCCACTTTTGAGCGTCACGAAAGGGAGGGAGCAGGTCATGCGCACCACCAATCTTCTGAATCACATCCATCGCGTCGCTGGGCGAGAGAAGATGCGTCATTTCGTGGGAGAGCGATCGGCCTGACTGAAACGCAAAGAGGAAGGGAGAAAAGGCCTCACAGTTCTCCATCCCCAGCATCGCTGGCATCAACTGCAGCATCACATTCAGCATAAGCGTGCGACATGACCTGATTCTGCTCACAGGGCGGCGAGTCGTGGCCGCCCTTGTTTAAGAAGTGTGGGTCACAATAAAGGCTCTTGCGTGCCCTGTTGTTGGTTGTCATCTTGCTCAATGGCAAGCGTTCCCACGAATTGCAAGAATTGAAGAGACGTTGTCTAAGGCGTATGCTCCAGAATGAGAGTGGACATGTGGCATGAAAAAAATCGCAACTTGCGAGAACGTCTTTGGGGTCGCAACGAAAGCGTTCGATGCTTGTCCACCGTAATACCATTCATATGTTCCTTCTGGCCGTTCATATGTCCGTATGAGACCCAGCAGATACCTGATCCTCTGATGGTGATGAGTAGCTGAGTCGTAACGAGTCGATGAGAAAGGAGCGAGATCGAAGCCACCTGTTTGACAAACCGCACAATAGAGGATGGTGCATCTCATGAGCACCTGGCTCGCTTCGCCCAAAGCCCAAGAGTCCCGGAATGCCAGTCTAGGCCTGTAAGGCATAGGCGGTAGGTACCAACCAAACCGCTGCGTCCGCGGGCTGGTGCCAGCCCTCGAGGACGCGGGTCACCGAGGCAGCCACCCCACTGGTCAGTCAGAACGGTAAATGAGTATGCCAAACGATGAAACAGTTGAAGCTTGTGATAAAGGTACTACCACAGCCATCTCCCACGTCCAAAAAAATGAGGGCGCGGGGCAAATGGAGAGTATGCCGCCACTTGCC